TAACCTTGGTACTGGGGGGAGAGGGTAGGGCAGTCTCAGGCACAGGTTTTGGGTCAGGCCTCGGTGTGGTTGCTGGCTCTGTCCCTGACTAGCTATTGGGGGCCACCTACCTAACTTGCCCAAGCCCCTCAGGTGGGCGTTGTCAATCCCTGACTCCGTTTTGTGAGAATGAGTCCTCATGGCTGTTGATGGCCATATTAAAATGTCTTCTGGCCAGAACTTTGCATCAGTGTTTATAGGGCTTTCAGAACTGGGGGGAACCTTTTAGGATCATCCACTTCAGTGGTTCCCAGTCTAGTGTCCACGAATGAAACATTGGGATTGTTTGGATTGTGTATTAGGAAGCAAAATGAGGTGTGTGAGGTGTTTTACCCAGAGCTTGGCCTGTAGAGTAATTATTCAATAAATGTGTTACTTATGATACCACCCTGCCTTCCAGATGTGACTTTGATTCATGGTAGTTTTATGGGTTAAAATGTATAAATATAAAGCTTTAAAATGTTTAATAAATTTTTAAGAAGATTAACCATTGAAAATAAGGCTAGCGTCCCTTTAGTTCCTTTAGTGATAACCCGAGCGGCAGCATTCACTTGCATCACGGTGTAAAACTCAAACTCTGGAGCTGAACTGCGTGGGTTTGAATCCTGGCTCTGCCATTTACCACCTGTGTGACCTTGGGCGAGTTAAATCACCTCTCTGAGTATCTGCCCCCTGGGATTGCTGGTGCCTGAGAGGTACCTAAGTATTTATTAAAATAAAGCAGATGTGTTCATATTTTACTATTATTTTTAGGAGTCTTTTCTAATAGATGGCTTCAGGCAAACAGCATGGGCCCAAGGAAAGGCGTGCAGGCGATCTAGGGATGGGCGTCGGGAGGGAGCCTCTGCTGAGCGCCGCGGGGTCCAGTACAGTGATGGAGTGTGGGACTGGGAGACAATGACACAGGCTAGGACGTGGGCTGCAGAAACGAGAACCCAGCATCAGGAATTTTGTGTGATTTGCTCCCTACCCCCATCCCAGGCAGATGTGTGCGGTAGAGGCTGTTCAGTTCAAGGGGAGACATGGTGTCGCAGCATTAAAGAATATTAAAATAGCCTATAATCCTAGCCCCCTTATTAAGCCAGTTTTGTCTTGGATATTTTATCTGGATTTTCACATAGTTTAAGCATATCATCTGTACTGTTTTGTAATCCGTTTTCAGCTAACAAATATATTTTTCATGTCTCTGCCTTTTGTGTCTCTAAATCTTGCAAAATAAAGAAGGAAGTTGTTTTTCGTTAAACAAACAAAATCAACTGAAGCATTTGGGAAATTTCAAAACCGTTCAGTCCCTGTTAGGGAGACTTTACTCCTAAGCACAAGGTAAAAGGCTAAGGTGGTTCCTTTTTTTGCCTATGAGATTTCCTCCTATTTCTGTTAGAGTGAGAATTCTATGTTTCACAGTGAGGGTTATATAACTTCTACCTCAGCTTTGGGATAAGTTTTCTTACTCAAATTCTTTTTAAGCAATATAACTTCCTGCTCAAGAAAGGACACGGAACTGGTTTTATGTCTGCAATAGGAATATTTAGTCAGATATTCAGAGAGCTTTTTCCCACAGATATTTTTATAGGGGGTCACTGTTTTATTCTCCTTTCCATAAACTTTGGTTTGTTGTAAGAGTCGGCCAGAAGCAGAGTTCTCATGTGAGGGACTGTGCCCAGGTCGCAAATGAAAGATGACATTTAAACTTGATGGAGATGTATAATTGAGAATCTTGGTTTTCCCACCCTTCCTTCTCAGGTTGGTTTGGAAGAAATGCCCTTCAGCAAGTAGTGGTAAGAGTTAACCCAACCTGTGTGTTGGGGAGTTTGGACAAGGAAGAGGGGCTGGGAGGTTCTAGGTGCTCCTGTTTTCCTTTCTCTGGAGAGTCTTGGGAATGATCATATGTGCCATCATGACCCCGTGCATTGGGTCTTTTCAGTCTTGAGCCAGCACTTGAGACTTTGCTGTTGACCTGGACAAGTTACAAGAATGTGGCCATGCCTTGAAGAAAAGGGAGATCCAAAGAGCCCTGGATTGGGAGCCAGAAGGCTGTGTCACCTCAGCCTTGTCACTTAACTCTTATGTCACATTTAGGCAGCTTAATTAACTCCCTCCAAGCCTCCATTTCTCGCTGGTAAAGTGCTATCCTCTCAGCTTCCCTTAGGGAGTGCAAATGAGAAATGGGCAGGAAAATGCTCTGCAGACTGGAATCTGTGAGCAAACTTAAGATGAGGATAATGTTCCTTTGAAAGCCACAAAGCCCGGTCTTGGGCAAGGTGATGAGAGGTCTTGATCATGGAAATAGAAGCCTGAATCACAGTGGATGAAGTTGGAAATCTTGGCCCGGGTCGGCAAGCCTGGTATATTCCTCAGAGTATCCCCAAAAGGAGGATTAGTGCTTTTGTGAAACTTCAGGCCGTCACTTCAGACGGTTCTGGCTGGATTCCAGATATCCATATAGCCCTGCCCCATAAACTGGATGCATAACCGGCTCATTTATCTGGAATCATCTCACGTACTATTCACCCTGAATCTTTTCCTAGGAAAATTAACTTAGAGGTTCACAACCTACTATATAAAGTACTGTGCTTCCCTTTTCTCTTCCTTAAGCTGTCCTCTTTTATTCTAGAAATTTCAGGGATAGTCTCCTGATGTCCATATTCCCTTCCTGAGTTGAAAATTTCTGCCAAATCGTTAGCTGTTCCCAGTGTGTGCTGTTTTTTTCCTGAGCACCCTTCCAAATCTTTTTCCTCATTGTAGTGTTTCTCCGTTTACCCTCACGCTTTTCCTGGTTGCCCTTCTTTCAGCCTGTTCACGTGAAGGGCCCAAGACCTAGAGATCAGAGATCCTGGGTCAAGTGCTACTTTAGCTTTAAGAGCGTTATCCCAGTTTAGAGAGAATTGTTTGTTTTTGAGAAGTGTTTTATTTCAAATCTGGAAGCCAAAAAAAAGAAAAGCTTTAAACTATGATTTATTTTCTAAAAAGATGATTCCTTAACTGTATGCCATGCAAATACTTGTAAGTGTCCATTTGAGCTCTCTGGTGCTTGCAAGGCCATAGCAAAGAGGATTAGGTTGCCGAAGATGTGCTGGACTCAGACCTTCAGTTTGCTCATAGGTTTGCCCTAAAGCTTATTTGAAAGGAGCTGACCTAACGAGGGTGTGGATCCTAGACTCAGGTGTGGACGTTTCGAATTATTCAGGTTGTGTGTGACTTGGGGCCCTTTAAAACTGTAATTAAGGAGTAAGAAATGTCTTGTGGTTTTTTACTACCTTCTTTGGAGGAAGTTTAAGAAGGCCGTTTCTTGGTAGCTCTGTGGTGGGATTCTTGAGGGGTGGAGGTGGGTAGTGGTTGAGAAGTGAGGGGAGAAATGAGGTGGCAGTGGGAGGCTGCTTACTTGGATGAGCTGAGGCACCCACATAACTTTATCATCTGCCATGTTCTCTAGACTTGGAAAGGCTTTGGGGGAGTGGGAGTGTGGGGTAGGGGCTGGTCTTTTGAAAACAGCTTTTACTTAGATGTCCATAACTGAAGCTATTTAGCAGTGGTAAATACGAGCAACTAGGTTAGGATCTACTAGACAGATTTTAAGACACAAAATAGCTTGTGAATTCCTAGTGATCTAATCTGGGCTATACAACACGTAATAATTTCACAGCATTCTAAGCATGACAAATACTTCTACTTTGGGACAATTTGTTAGAACCCAGAGAACTTAAAAATCCTCTTATATTAAAAAAAAAGTAAACGTCACCCTTGATTAAAAAAATCACACAGCTTTGTTCTAGAGATAGGAGAAGAGTGGCTACCATTTGAATGGTGGCCTTGGAACCCCATTGCCTTGGCTGAGATTCCAGCTCTGCCCTTAACACGGTTACATCTTTAAATCTCCCCTTCAGGTATGAAAGGGAATAAAAATGCAGTACCTACCTCATAGGCTCACTGTATCAAATAAGATAAAGCATAGCGCCTGGGACACAATACTTTGGGATTCTTTTCTAAGGATAAATTCTCAGGTCAGAATTAACCTGATAAGAAAACTGTTTACAGTGTATTGCCACTCCACTTTTTTGGATTGTCTTTTAATGTCAAGCTTATCTAAATGGTTGTTCTTCTGTAGGTCATCCATCTCAATAGTGTCAGCACTCTGGAGTTAAATCCTCAGCAAACTGTTTCATTACTCTTTCTTTGTTCTTCTGTTGCCCACAGCCTGAAATCTATTCTTGGCCTTTGATATTTCACTGAAATGTGATTTTCATTTCTTTTTTCCTTTCTGCTATAAATGGCAGGGATCTTAACTATACAAATTGAATTTTGACAAATGTATACACCCATGAAACCCTCATCTAGATTGACATATGTAGTACATTTCTATATCCTAGAAAGTTCCCTCCTGCCTGTCTCCAGTCAAAACCTAACATAAATGGAATTTGAGGTCTTTCACTCACAATATCCTGTTGTTGCCAGTAGCAGTAGTTCTACTTTTTATGCTGCGGGTTATTCCATTGTATGAATACACCAGGATTTGGTAATCTATTCTTCTGTTGATGATATTTGGGGTGTTCTCAGTTTTTGGCTATTAGGATAAAGCTAGTATGAGTCTTTTCATTTTATCTCTCTGAACACTCACTATGGTTAAGTCCTTGTAAGCAAGGAAGTTGAACACCTGTGAGATTATTTAGTAAATGCATATCTCTGCCCTTGGGTGTCTAAAACAGCCACAGTGTTATCAGTCAGTTATGTACGGCTTGCTATGGGCCCAGCCACTGTTGTCAAAGCTTTACAAACAAAATCACATAGCCCTCACAACCATCCTATGAAGTGAGTTATTATTATCCCCATTTTATAGATGGAGAAGGTGAGACATCGGTTTTACAACTTGCCTAAAGTCACAGAGCTAGAATGGTAAGGCCGTGATTTGAACCTAGGCAGTGCAAGTCTAGAATCTGTGCTCTAAACCACTGTTCTGGGAGAGATAAAGACGTGTGAGCAAATGCAAATTAATAATTACCTAATTAATACAATGCTCCTCCCTTTTATTCCAGATATGAGAAATGAGTGTTGGACGTCGAAGAATAAAGTTGTTGGGTATCCTCATGATGTTAAATGTCTTCATTTATTTGATTGTGGAAGTCTCCAAAAGCAGTAACCAAGAAAAAAATGGAAAGGGGGAAGTAATAATACCCAAAGAAAAGTTCTGGAAGATATCTGAACCTCCTGCAGCATATTGGAACAGAGAACAAGAAAAGCTGAACAGGCGGTACAATCCCATTTTGAACATGTTGACCAACCAGACAGGGGAAGTATACGGGTTTTCCAATATAAGCCATCTGAATTATTGTGAACCTGACCTGAGGGTCACGTCAGTAGTTTCAGGCTTCAACAATTTGCCTGACAGATTTAAAGACTTTCTGCTGTATTTGAGGTGTCGAAATTATTCACTGCTTATAGATCAACCGGATAAATGTGCAAAGAAACCCTTCTTATTGCTGGCAATTAAGTCCCTCACTTCACATTTTGCTAGAAGGCAAGCAATTCGGGAATCTTGGGGCAGAGAAACCAATGTGGCAAACCAAACAGTGGTGCGAGTCTTTTTACTGGGCCAGACCCCCCCAGAGGACAACCATCCCGACCTTTCAGACATGCTGAAATTTGAGAGTGAGAAGCACCAAGACATTCTTATGTGGAACTACAGGGACACTTTCTTCAACTTGTCTCTGAAAGAAGTGCTCTTTCTCAGGTGGGTGAGCACTTCCTGCCCAAATGCCGAGTTTGTCTTCAAGGGTGATGATGATGTTTTTGTGAATACACATCACATCCTGAATTACTTGAATAGCTTGTCCAAGAACAAAGCCAAAGATTTGTTTATAGGTGATGTGATCCACAATGCTGGACCTCATCGGGATAAGAAACTGAAGTACTACATCCCAGAAGTTGTTTACACTGGTGTCTACCCGCCTTATGCGGGGGGAGGTGGATTCCTCTACTCCGGCCATCTGGCCCTGAGGTTGTACAATGTAACTGACCAGGTCCTTCTCTACCCCATTGATGACGTTTATACTGGAATGTGCCTTCAGAAACTTGGCCTCGTTCCGGAGAAACACAAAGGCTTCAAGACATTTGATATAGAAGAGAAGAACAAGAATAACATTTGTTCCTATATAGATTTGATGTTAGTGCATAGCAGAAAACCTCAAGAGATGATTGATATTTGGTCTCGGTTGCAAAATGCTCATTTAAATTGCTAAAATATACACAAACGAAATTTTGCCTAGAAAGACATATCTTGAATAGTTTCCATGTTCTCTCACATTAGGGGTAATTTCTATGTGAAATCATAAAAATTGCCTTTTTAAGTAGTATCCATTTGAGGGCCTTTGAACCCTGCAATGTGGTACTTTCTGAACAAGGAAAGCAGATCATAATTTTTTATGGAGGATATGGCAGGACGATTGGTTCTGATCCTTCCTACTGGCTCAGTGGTCATTATTTTCTAATTTGCTCCCCTTCTCATCTGAAATCATAAGTTTCTGGAATTTGACCGTTTTAAGTTATTTTTGTTTTGCTCTCATGATATTCCTACTTTCCATTATAATGGGTGAACTATCTGCAATTTAGATGTTTATAAACGTGTTGGCTACAAAGACTTTGTTATACGTGATTCAGTGGTTTTTGTGAAATGGAATTATATGTATTTTCATGAAATTTGGATGAATTTTTTAAATTGTCTAGAAAAATTGACTTCTGTCAAATTTTCCTGCCACCCCAACAGCTTTTGTGTGTGTGTGTGTGTGTGTATGTGTGTGTGTGTGTGTGTGTTAATCTAATCAGTTAATTTTGCAAAATGAGAATCACTGTGTCACATTTATCTACTTTATCTTGTAATGGTCTTATGGTTTTAATAAAGAGAAAATTTAACTTTGAAGATTGAATTGACCTTGGCAACCATGTTGTTTTATGATTTTTCAATGTGGACCAGGAAAGCATAATGTAACTTTTGTAAGTGAAAAGATTGAAGTTGCAGACTTTTTCATGTGGTTTATCAGTTTAAAAATTCCATGATTTTATTCTTGCCATGTTTTCACGTTGCTTATACAAAATTACTATTGTGACTAGTGACTGCTTCCCTGTCTCAGTGTAGAAGTGCCTGTGTTTTTATTTATTGTTCAGATCAAAGACCAAAATGTTTTCTTAAATATATTTTGTTTAATATTTTATTTGTATACAGTGTTGTCGGTGATATATTTAACTAGAGCATGGTATTTTAAGTGTCAAGGTGTAATATATGTTAAATAAAGCTAACTGTTATTTTTGAATTTTAAAATTCGTTTTTTTGGGTGGGTATGAAACTAGAGTTGATAAAATTCTCCCAAACTGTTGCTTATGTACACTATCTTGTAACATGCTTTCTTGAAATATTTTTGTGTTCATAGACATGAGAATTCTTACCAGATGTGATACTGGGGACTGTAAGAAGATGGAAATAAAGTCTCTGTATTTTTAATTGTCGTGTGTAATAATCTATGATCTCTTTTTGTTTCCTGTATTTGGTTACATTTTCCCAAAAGAGGCCATTTTTTCCCAGAAACTATTAAGAGTAATATTGAACTATAACTTTGTCTCAATGAGTCATCTATCTTTGCATTTAAAATTCTTGAAAGTGCTTTCCCATTTAGAGTCTTTAAAAAGAAGTATGTATATTTATTTATATTTCCATTTTCAGTGAGCATAAAGAATTTAATTAGAAAATGGAGCAGCATCTTAAAGGCTGTATTATCCTAAGCCATGGCCATTTTGGGGTTTGTATCCACAGTGATGAAATACAGAGGCAGCCTTGACCGCTCAAGTTTCCTTCCTAGACTTGTGTTGAGAAGAAATTGCTAATGTTCAGTTACAAACAGACATTTGATGAAGCTCAAAAAACAAAAGGATTAGTGCTGTGAGAACATTTAGGAGACTGTCCTCTCCTGCTGGGAATGTTAAGGCCTTGTATGATAAGGACACAAGTATGAGGACACAGATCCTTGATGTGGGTTTGAAGACTGTTGTAAGCTTGATCTTTCTAAAGGTTTCATGTACCTGCATCTGACCTCTCTACCCCGGTGGTTGCCAGCACCTCTCTCAGAGGGCTGCATTACCATATTAGGTTGAAGCTCCAAAAACATTCACAGGTAATTGGTTCACAATTTGCACGTGTCCATATAACTTGACCATGCATTCTCAAGTAATAGGTTTCTCCTCTGAGGGGAATTTCTTGTAATTTTTTCTTCTAGGGATTCTCCTTCACTGAGATTTCAAGTCTGCAGAGAAAGAAGAGCTGTAGTAGGTTTTGAAACATGTTTGGAGGGCCACTGAGGGCCTTTTGTGAGCCTCCAGTTGACCTGTGCCACTGTTTGAACATAAGTCCTTGGTGCTGATGTTTGCTGGGTGGCATGATCTCCAGCCCTATATTTGGCAGAAGTTACCTGAGCCCACAACACTGGTCATCGACCTCATGGGCTTTTCAGCAAAGAGATCCTAGGTTTTAGAGCTTTATACAAGCTTGGGCTCGATTATGGTACTGACTGACCCCTAAATCCATGAAGCCCTCTCTTCGTGCCCACAAGATGGATTCTCTCCTGAGCTTTCATCTCATGGGCATAAGCATCACAGTCTAATTCATTCTTTGAGAACTGCTCAACAATTGAGGCCTCAGTGGAAACTAGTGTTTGGACATTTTGTTGTAGCTGCTCCCAAGTCATGTTGATTTTTTTTTTTCTAATAGATGTTTTAATAGTTTTCAACATTGTGAAATTTTGGGTTGTACATTTTTGTTTCTCCATCACCATATATATGTCTCCCTTCACCCCTTGTGCCCACCCCCACCCCCACTGCCCTGGTAACCACAATACAGTTTTCTCTGTCCATGAGTTGGTTTATATTCCACATATGAGTGAGATCATACAGTGTTTGTCTTTCTCTTTCTGGCTTATTTCACTTAACATAATACCCTCCAGGCCCATCCATGTTGTTGCAAATGGGACGATTTTGTCTTTTATGGCTGAGTAGTATTCCATTGTGTATATATATATACACCACATTTTCTTGATCCAGTCGTCAGTTGAGGGACACTTAGGTTGCTTCCACTTCTTGGCTATGGTGAATAATGCTGCAATGAACATAGGGGTGCATAAGCCTCTTTGGATTGTTGATTTCAGGTTCGTTGGATAGATTCCCAGTAGTGGGATGGCTGGATCATAGGACATCTCTATTTTTAATTCTTTGAGGAATCTCCATACCGTTTTCCATAGAGGCTGCACCAGTTTGCATTCCCACCAGCTGTGTATGAGGGTTCCTGTTTCTCCACATCCTCTCCAACATTTGTTGTTTTTTGTCTTGGTGATTATAGCCATTCTAACGGGCGTGAGGTGATATCTTAGTGTTGTTTTGATTTGCATTTCCCTGATGATTAGTGATGTTGAACATCTTTTCATGTGCCTATTGGCCATCTGTATATCTTCTTTGGAGAAGTGTCTGTTCATTTCCTTTGCCCATTTTTTGATCGGGTTGTTTGTTTTTTTGTTGTTCAGTTGTGTGAGTTCTTTATATATTATGGAGATTAACCCCTTGTCAGATGTATGTTTTGCAAATATTCTCTCCCAGCTGGTGGGTTGTCTGTTCATCTTGATTCAAGTCATTGTTAATTTTGAGTTTGATGGTGAAAAAGGCTGAATGAGCATTGGCAGGGTTTGGATTTTTCATAAATCCAATCAGGCCTTAAGTGGAAAAGGATGAAAGAGACCAGAATGGCTCATTTCCATTCCTGACTGATTTCCTTTCTGAGTTGATCAAGGGAGGATGGAAAAGGAGGACATGAAATTGAGGGAATACTTTGAGTCACACTTAAAAGTCGAATCCAGGGCCAGCCCAGTGGTGCAAGCAGTTAAGTGTAGGCGCTCCACTGCAGCGGCCCGGGGTTCGCCGGTTCGGATCCCAGGCGGCCAATGACAGACTTCTCATAGAGCCATGCTGTGGCAGCGTCCCATATAAAGTCTAGAAGATGAGCACGGATGTTAGCTCAGGGCCAATCTTCCTCAGCAAAAAGAGGAGGATTGGCATCAGATGTTAGCTCAGTGCTGATCTTCCTCAAAAAAAAAAGTTGAATCCAGAAGTAAAGGCACCCAAAGTGTGACCATCTCCTACTTTTCTCTCCCTGAGTGATAATGGTCTGGAATATTTGATGTTCTGGGTCATCTTGGCCCCCTCAATGCAGAAAGGGAGAATGCATTTATTAAAGACAGGATTTATTTTCACTTGCAGGGAAGCTGAAATGAATGAAGCCTTTACTTGGGTCAAAAGTTAACTTCTCTGTGGTTTGCCTTCTTATGAAAAATGTCAGCTGAAGTAAAAATTTTTGTTTAGAACAGGAAAACGAATACTTCATGTGCTGGGCTGTTGAGATTTTTGGATAAATTCAATTTTTCCTTAATATTCATTCTATATGGGTTTTATTTTTTAAATGCCAGGGATATCTGCCAAGTAATTTTGAGGCTGAACTTTACCTCATCAGAGTTAACAATAAATCTGAAAAATTACAATATTTATGGGCCAGCCCTGGTGGCCTAGTGGTTAAGTTTGGAGTGCTCTGCTTCAGTGACCCTGGGGTTGGTTCCTGGGTGCGGACCTACACCACTCATCTGTCAGTGGCCACGCTGTCGCAGCGCCTCACATACAAAAAGAGAAAGGTTGGCAACAGATGTTAGCTCAGGGCAAATCTTTCTCAGCAAAAAAATTTTTTAAAAATTAATATATTTATCCTGATTCATTCAGGTTTTGAAGTAATACACTTGAAAGAAAATTTTTTTGCCCTTAATAACATATTTTGAAAGACAGAGGCCAAGAATGAGGAACTTTTGTTTTTAAGGAGCCCCAAAAAATCTTGTCACATTGCATATGAATTGCCATATTTATTAATTTTCAGATACAATCCTTTTTATATACCACTAAAAAAACGCTGTAAATATGATTTATACCAACTGTATGATGTGCCTTAATTGCAGAGATATTAAAATATAAAATATTACATCTTAGAATAATTGATATACAGCATTAGTGTGTGTATATGTGTATATATAAAATTTAAAAACCCTTAAATTGAAAGATGGAGTCCTGTTTAGGTGTGTTTCCTGCTTCTCTGACTGGCTGTGTTTAGTAATTTTCACCCAAGCAACCATGGTGGCATTTGAGCGTTGACACTCAGAAGACAGCGTTGGCT